ATCGCTTTCATCATCACCCCTACAATCACCCTCACCATCAGCATCATGACCACCACCACCATCACAACCAGAATCCTCATCATCGCCATCGCCATCGTCATCACCATCACCGTCCCCACCCTCCTACCACCACTGGAAACAGTTCGAATGAGAAGAGGTGTCCTTCCCCCCCCCTCATACTCTTAAGTCGGGCCTGTCCCCCACAGGGGGATTTTCGACGAAAAATTAAAACGACCCAAAAAATACTAAAAAAAAATAATCCTAAAATAGTCTGGGGGCTATTTTCTTGAACATGTTTGGACCTTGTTGGGGCATTTTCGGGGTATGTTTCATTTTTCGTCGAAAATCCCCCTGTAAGGGGACAGACCCGACTTAATCGTACTCCTCCCCCGCCCCCCCAACTCCTCCTTCACCTCGCCGCCTGCCGTTGCGCCACGCAGCGATCCCACTCCGAGGCCGCGCCGCGCAGCTCGCTCCAACGCGCACGGCACACGCGCCCCCGGCAACGGGAGGGAGGGGACTGACCAGACGCTGGCGCACGAGGAAAAAGGGAGGGAAAAGAGGCCTCGCCGCTGCGCGGTTCCGCGCACAGCGGTGGCCGTCGGCGTCGGGGCGCTGAAAAAATCGGTCGGGCCCAGGATCGTGAGATCGGATCGAAAAACAAGCACCGCAGGGTCGGAGTTTACAGGCAAGATTGGTAGCAAGGTGGGGGGAAATCGCAATTATCGCGGGGAGAAAAGAATGGGCCTCTGGCCCCGATCGGTACTTCATTTCGGTTGTCGTGATATTCTCCGGTTTGTGGCAAGCTGGTCTCGTCGTTGCAGGTGTCGTTCGCATTCTACTCACCGCCATTTGGGCAAACAGCGTGTCGAACGAAGATTCGTACTGAAGCACGTTACAGAAGACTGGGATAGCCCCAGGCTGGCCCTCCGCGGCTGCGCGGGCGCACATCCGCTCGAGCACGCAACCGTTTTGCAACATGGCTCAGCACGAAGCGATATCGGAAGGCCTGGCTCGGTTTTTGCACACGTTGCTGAATTTGTGTTTGGATCACTCGCCGTGAAAATCAATGTTTTCCGTATTGACGCGGACCTGGGTCGTTCCACTTCGGTATGCCCATCGCCCGGCCTGTGCGACGAGGGACCCCTGGACCCCCTCTCGGCTGCTGATGAGAGCCGGACTTGCATTCAGTCTCGCGAGACAGAGTTTCCCACGAGGTGGCGCGGCAGATCCCTGCGACCCAGCGTGCTCTGGTCGCCGAGCGCCTCCTCGTAGCCCAGCGCGCCCTCGTGGTGCAAGGCGTTCTGGTGGCCCACAGCGCCCTCGTACCCCAGCGCCATCTCGCGGCCCAGCGTGTTATGGCAAACCAACGTTTCAGCGCAGGCCAACGCGCTCGTAGCCCAGCGCTTCCTCGTGGCCCAGCATGCTCGTAGCCCAGCGCCCTCTCTTGGCCCAGCGCGTCCAGGCGGACCAACGCCGTCTCGTAGCCTGGCAACCTCTCGCAGCCCAGCGCGTCGCGGTGGGCCAGCGCCTCTCCGTACTTAGCCCAGCGCGCTTTCGTAGCCCAGCGTGTTCGGGTAGCGCAGCGCGGTCTCGTAGCCCGACGCGTCCCAGTAGCCCAGCGCATGCTCGTGGTTCAGCGCGCTCTCGTAGCCTGCCCGGCATGTTTTGGTAGCACCGCATGCTCGTGACCCAGCGCGTTCTCGTGGACTGGCGTGTTTTGGTGGCACAGCATCTTTTCATAGCCAGGGACCGTCTCGTGGCCCAGCGTGCTCTCGCGGCCCGACGTGTTCTCGTGGCCCAGCGCCTTCTCGTGGCCTGGCGCGTTCTGGTAGTAGCCCCGCGCCTTCTTCTAGTCCCGCGCCGTCTCGTGGCCCAGCGCCGTCTTGCGGCCCAGTGCTATCTCGAAGACTGGAGATGCGATTCGCGATGGCGTGGTGCTTGGCAGAGGAAGCCTCGCGCGCCCGCGTGGCCAGCATCAGCGCGTCGGCCTCCCTGCTCGCCAAGAGCCTTCTTACGTCCTGGCGTGTTATGATAGCCTGGCGTCCTCTCGTAGCCGAGCGCCGTGTCGTGGCCCGGCGCATTTTAGGTGCCCAACGCCTTCGCGTAACCCAGCGCCGTCTCGTGGCCCAGCATGCTCTCGCAGCCCAGCGCCTTCTCGTGGCTCAGCGCGCTTCTTGTAGCCCAGCGTGTTTTGGTGGCCCAGCGCCTTCTCGTAGCCCAGGGCCGTCTCGTGGCCCAGCGTGTTGCGTGTTCTGGTGGTTCAGCGCCTTCTCGTAGCCAGGTCCGTCTCGTGGCCGCCAAGCGTCTTTTCGTGACCCAGCGAGCTCTCGTAGCCCAGCACCTTTTCGTGGCCTGGGGTGTTCTGGCAACACGGCGCCTTCTCGTAGCCCAGCGCCCTCTCGTGGCCCGGCGCCTTCCAGGTGCCCAACGCCTTCGCGTAGCCCACCGCCGTCTCAAGGCCCAGCAAGTTCTCGTAGCCCAACGCCCTCGACAGCAGAAGGGCCTGTCACGCCGCTGTTCAGACTCGGTTTCGTCGACACTGTCCTCGGGCACAGCCTCGGACCCGTCCGTCATGCGCCCTGGTACCCAGGGACAGGCGCATGCCTGACCAGCGCGCCGTCCAGGACGAGCGCCAGAGGGCCTATAGGGGGCAGTCGAAGCCGTCGATGGCGTTGGAGCCGATGTTGCCGTACCGGACGTTGCCGTAGCCCACAAGGCCATCGATGCCGAGAAGGGAGGCGCTAGGAGGCAACTGCTGGGAGGTTTTCGTCGGAAAGATTACGGAGGATTAAGCCCCATTTGGAAGCTGTTACACCGGAGTGGGCCTCGGACTCAGCAGGATTAAGCCGGATTAAGCGGGATTAAGCCGGATTAAGCGGTATTAAGCTAAATCAAGCCGGATTTCGGACCAGGGCGAAAACAGAATTTGACCTCCCAGGAGTTGCATCCGAAGAGGCGTCGTCGTACACCTGGCCATCTTCAAGGTCGGCGCCACCCATGGCGCCGGCAACCTCGACGACCACCCTGTGTAGTCGACGGGCGTCTCGGTGGAGCGCTCGCGCGTGCGGGATTCGGGCCAGGCGAAAGGGGGGGATAGCAAAGGGGGGGTTTGAGAATCAGCTCACGTAGCTGATTTTCCCGGCGCCTCCCGGCGCCGGGAGGCGCCCACCTATCGAGGAATGGGCCCCTCGGTGAGGCCGAAACCAGCCGCATGCAGCAGATTTCGTACCCCCCCTTTCCCAGTCCCCCCCTCTCGTCCGGCCCGAGGGATGAGCTCGTCCTGCGCGAGCCTCCTTGAAGGGGCCCTGGGACACACACAAATAAGTACACACAAATAAAATGACTCCCCAGATTTTCCCATAGTTTCTTGGTTCTTGTCTCCCCCCCACCTCCCATATCTTCCCGTCTTCTCTGGGGAATCGACGCTGAACTGTGTCTGTGTGTTCTTTCCCCTCCTGACTCCTCGAGCCCGCCCGCGCGCGCCGCCGGGCGCCGGCGGCGCGCGGCCCCCGCGGGCCCCGCGGCGGGCGGCCGCGCCCGCGCGGCGGCCGAGGGCCCCCGCGGCGGGGCCGGGCCCGCCGCCGCGGCGGCGCCCCGCGGGGGGGGGGGGGCGCACGGCCTGTCGGCCCCCCGGGCGGGGCCCGAGCAGCCCTGGGCGCGCGCCGTCGTCGGGGCCTCGCCGCCCCCATGGGGGGGCGCGCGGTCTGCGCAAGTGTCGCCACTTGCGTGGGCTCCTTGAGCGAGCAACGACATGTGTACATGTACGCCCTCCGCGGTCTTGCGTGCACGAACCTCCACGTTCAAACGCAATTCGGCGGAAACAAGCCGCGCACATGTACATATGTTGTTGCCCTCTGACTCCTGGGAGGCCCAGCGGAGGTGGGCCCCACGCGGAGCCCCTCGGGACCTCGCCGCCCCCATGGGGGGCCTGCGGTCTGCGCAAGCGTCGCCACCTGCGTGGGCTCCTGGGAGGCCCAGCGGAGGTGGGCCCCACGCGGATCACCTCGGGACCTCGCCGCCCCTGGGGGGCCTGCCCGGACATGCTGGCGGCGTGGACAAAAACACGGCGGAAGTGAGGAGCCGCACTTTATACTTTATACACCGATGCTTTCTTCTGGTCCCGCACTGAGGTCCGCACAAGAAAGCGGATCCTGGTGTATGCGGCATCCTGGTGCATGCATTTCTTGTTGCTTCCATGGGAAAACGGGGAAAAAAGCATACACCACATCACCCCGACGTCGTCCCCGACCCTGAAAAAATCCGGGGATTGAAAAACAGCCCGCGACTGGTAATGTATACGTTCCAGTTTTCGAGGAAGGTTCTGGGCTGCTTTCCGCCTCCAGGGGCCCTCGCTGGGTCCCCGGGCCATAGAAAACACAGCCAGGGAGGCAGCTTCCCAGACCCCCGACGCCACGATCGCTTCATAGCCTCGATCCCCAGAAATCTGGACCTATTCCCCGGGACGGGCTTTTCATCCGGAGTCGTTTCTAGACGCCCCGAGGCCTGGCAAGGGCCCCCAGAGGCCGAAAATAGCGATAAAAACCTCCAGCTGTGTTGTTGTTTCCAGACTCGATGGGGAAAGCATGCTACGCATGGAATGAAACCAATGAAAAGATACCTGGACTTGCATCCGGGAGTGGATCCATCTGGAAAGTGCTGAGGCTGCGATGCCTCTTCTGGTCCTGAACAGGCTACGGTGCCCACTCGTGCCCACCACATCCCGTCTCCAGGGACTGTTCCGCCCCAAGGTCGGAGGCCTGGAAATTGGCACCAACACCAGCACAGGGGGTTGCCTCCACATGGGGAATATGATCCTAGATTTCGGTGTTAGTGGTAGTATTTCGGTCACCTGGGAAGCCAGAATATTGCCACCATCACCGAGATCGGGACCGTCTTCCCTCGGTGGAGGCACACCGCCGATCCTGGTGTTGGTGTCAACCTCTAGGCCTGCGACAAGGGCCAGCAGGTCTCCCCCCCAAAGGGCCCCGGGGGGGCACCAGTCCATGTGGTCCGAGCGGTCCATGATGTTGTCGCCGCGCAGCCCTGGCGCGGAGCCCCCCGCCCCCTGCGCTCCCCTTCTGGGGAGGGGGGGGGGCGGGGCCTCCTGCCCGCGAGAGGCCTCGGCCTGCCGAAGGGAAGGGCGGGGGGGGGGATCGGGGGAGGACGCAGGTCGACGTTCGAGGTTCGAGGTTCGAGTTCGAACGTTCGACGTTCGACGTTCGAGGTTCGATGCTCGACGTTCGACGTTCGACGTTCGAGGTTCGAGGTTCGATGCTCGACGTTCGAGGCTCGACGTTCGACGTTCGACGTTCGACGTTCGAGGTTCGAGGGGACGATCGAGCGTTCGACGTTCGAGGTTCGATGCTCCACTGGCGGGCTTCGGTCCGCCCTCCCTGGGCAGCCTGGGCCTCCAGGGGTCACCTCGATTTCCTGCGCGGTGGCTCGCCCGGCCGTCTTTGCATGGGAGCTGGAGCGTCTGCCACGGGGCCGCCCTGAGGCAGGGAAGGGCGCATCAGAAGGAGGAGGAGGAGGAAGAGTAGGAGGAGGAGGAGGAGGAGGAGGAGGAGGAGGAGGAGGAGGAGGAGGAGGAGGAGAGGGAGGAGGAAGAGAAGAGGAGAGGGAAGAGAAGGAAGAGAAGGCGGAAGAGGAGGAAGAGGAGGAAGGGCACATACGAAGAAGGAGGAGGAAGAGAAGGAGGAGAGGAGGAGGAGGAGGAGGAGGAGGAGGAGGAGGAGGAGGAGGATCGCGCCCGTGCCCGCCGAGGGCGGAGCCTCCAAGGCCTGCGCGGGTGGGCCTGAGCCCTCCGGGATAAGTGGCCGAAGTCGGCGGGGGGGGCATGTTGGCGGCGCGCACAAGGGGGTGGGGGGGAGGGGGGAGGGCTTCTTAGAAGCAGGCTGCTTCTTAGAAGGCGCCGGCCTTACATCTATAGATACGGCCCGCGCCTTCTAAGAGGCAGGGGTGCTTCTAAGAAGCCCTCCCCCCTCCCCCCACCCCCCTCTGCGCGTGGCTGAGTATGGAGGGCGTGCGACAGGGAGAGTGTGCATGACCCAGCATGCGCGACCCGGCGTCGGCGCGAAGGGCGCACGAGAGCAAAACCGGGCGAGCGGCTTCCCGAGCACGCCCGCATCGAGGATCGGACTGTTTGGACGTGCTCCTGCACTCTCACGGCCTCCAGACGCCTCCGAGGGCTCTCCAGGGGCCTCGAGCGAGACCTCCGGAGGCTTGTAAAGGCAGGGGACGGAGGAGGATTGAGGGTTATGTCGGGCGTGTCCCCCTGCAGGGGGATTTTCGACGAAAAATGAAAAATACCCCAAAAATACTCCAAAAAGGTCGAAAAATACTATAACAAAATAATCCCCAGACTATGGGCTATTTTTTGATTATTTTGGGGGTATTTTTTATTTTTCGTCGAAAATCCCCCTGTAGGGGGACAGGCCCAACTTAAATTGAGGGGGAGGAGAAGGGGGAAGGAGAAGGGGGAGGAGAAGGGGAAGGGGGAACGGAGGAGGATTGAGGGGGAGGAGAAGGGGGAAGGAGAAGGGGGAAGGAGAAGGGGGAGGATTGAGGAGAAGGGGGAGGAGAAGAGGGAAGGAGGATTGAGGGGGAGGAGAAGGGGGGAGGAAAAGGGGGAAGGAGAAGGGGGAAGGGCCCAGACCAGAACCCCCTCGCGCCGTCACTAAAAAAGAACAGCGCGAGGCCTCCCCCGCCTTTCAAACCTCCGGAGGCCCTCGCTTCGACCGGGGACCTTCAGTGGGCAACGCAGGACGAACTCGAACGGGCCCAGACCAGAACCCCCTCGCGCCGTCACGAAGAGAACAGCGCGAGGCCTCCCCCGCCTTTCCAACCTCCGGAGGCCCTCGCTTCGACCAAGGGACCTGCAGAGGGCAACGCAGGGCGAGCTCGGACCTCTGGTGGTCCAGCTCACGACGTCGGGGTCTGGGGAAGAGGAGGGGGACCAGAAGGATCACCCTCCTGCGGGGAGGGGGCGAGACCTCTGGTGGTCCAGCTCACGACGTCGGGGTCTGGGGAAGAGGAGGGGGACCAGAAGGATCACCCTCCTGCTTGGAGAGCGGGGTCCCAAGGGTCCCAGAGCACTTGCTGCGGCAGGGGCGCCTCGCGTCGCGTTGAGCAGGACGGGGCAGGTGGCTGGGCTGCCGACAAGGAACATCGGGGCCGAAAGACTGCCACAGGGGCAGCGGAACGGGCCCTGACATCCTCGCGTTGTGAAAAAACACGACGGTAGGTTCTGACATGCTTCTGTATCCGAGGGCCCTTGCGATAGAGGAAGGAACAGACAACGGCATGTGCATAAACTTTCGGAGCTCCGCGCGGAGCTCCGAAAATGTACCGTAGCACCCCTCAGTTGCGGATAGGAGTGAGGGGGCGGCGGGGACGTCTGCAGTCTGCGAGGCTCTGAAGAAGCCCGTCGCAGGCGCCTAATTGCTAGAAATTATACAGCGGGCCAACCGCAGGCGCCGATTTTTCGTTAAAGTGATGTGGGCGGGTCACGGGGTGGGTCGCGGGCCGGGTCGCGGGTGGGTCGCGGGTGGGTCGCGGGTGGGTGGCTGGTGGGTCGCGGGGTGGGTCGCGGGTGGGTCGCGGGTGGGTCGCGGGTAAGTCACGAATAAATCATGAATGAGTCGCAAATAAATCACGAGTGAATCGCGGGCGGGTCGCGGGCGGGTCGTGGGGGGGGTCGCGTGTGGGTCGGGGGTGGGTCGCGGGGTGGGTCGCCGGTGGGTCGCAGGTGGGTGGCGGGCGGGTCGCGGGGTGGGTCGCGGGGTGGGTCACGGGCCAGTCGCGGGAGGGACGAAGCCAAACAACAACGAACAACAACAAACATGAAGCAACAACAACAAACACCAAACAATAAACAGGAATGCCAACAGCAGCAGCAGCAGCAACAGCAACAACAAACAACAAGCAACAAGCAATAACAACAACGACACGAACAACAACAACAACAACAACAACAACAACAACAACAACAACAACAACAACAACAACAACCACAACCACAACAACAACAACAACAACAACAACCGCAGCAGCAGCAACAACAACAACAACCACAAAACCAACAACAACAGCAACAACAACAGCAGCAGCAGCAACAACAACAACAAACACAAAAACAACAACAACAACAACAACAACAACAACAACAACAACAACAACAACAACAACAACAATTACTAGCACGTGGGGACACTCCGTTCTCACCAGTGCCAGGGTTTTCATAGGAGGCGGGCAATACCCCCACTTTGTGGGGGGGCCGGTTCAAGCTCTACCAAATTTCCAAACGACTCTTCGCCACCACCCACACCCAGCTTCCCGCCCTATGACGTTCGGACACTTCACTTCGTGGCATGCGGACGACCGTGGCTACTATTCAGGGCCCCGCGGCCGACGACGACGGCGTGCGCGCGCGAAGAAAAAACGAATGTGTCCCGCATGGTATTATTTGACAGGGATGATGGCCCTGGCAGGTGCGCAACCGTTGTTGCAGAAGTTCGAAAAAGTTGCTCGCAAAAGCCCGTTTGACAGAAATGTTTAAAAAGTGTTGGGTTTCCTACGAATCCGCAAGAGCGCGCGGGATGAAATTTTGACATTTTTTTTTGAAAAACCATTGGTGTTTTGATGTTTTTATGTTAAAATCGCTACGAAAACTAAGGTTTTGGAAGGATTTCGTCTTGCGCGCGCGAATGTCCACTTTACCTTATTTTTTGCAAGGGATTCTTGAAGTTTGGTTATGTTAGAACAAGAAATGTCCACTTTAGCTTATTTTTTGCAAGGGAAAACGGGGGACAACAAAACAACCGGATCCGGACACCCACGTTTTGCCTGAGACTTCCTCACGAAAATGATGAAAATGTGGCTGCGGCCTAGGCGCGGTGAGGGGGCCGCGCACCAGGGGTCCCAACAATAATTATTCTTTAGAATAAATAATGTTCAACAGCAGCAGCAGCAGCAACAACAACAACAACAACCACCACCACAACAACCATAACAACAACAACAACAACAACCACAACAACACCAATAACAATAATAACACTAACGATGATAGCAGCAACAACAATAACAATAATAGCAGCAACAACAACAAAACAACAACAATAACAACAACAATCACAACCACAATCACAACACCATCACCAACAACAACAACAACCAACAGCATCAACATTAACAGCAGCAACCATATCCACAACAACAGCCACAACAGCGACAAGAACAATAACAACAACGACGACGATAATAGTAATAGCAACAACAACGAAAACAACAACGACAACTACAATTACAACTACAACGACAACATCAACCACAACAACAACAACAACAACAATCACTTCAAGACTGGTCGCTCTTACTGGCACGCGTGCTTTGCATGTATATCCCAACTAGGGAAACGAACTCTATACACCGACGCTTTTCCCGACCCTGCGCTGCAATTCGCACAGGAACGCGGATTCTGGTGTATACGGGATCCTACACATTTTTCGTTGCTTTCCCGGGACATCGGGGATAAAAGTAGACACCACACCACCCCAGCGTCGCCCCCGACCCTCAAAAAGCCCTGGGATTCAAGAAACAGCCCGCCACTCGTAAAGTATACGTTCCAGTTTCCGACCAACCCTCGATAACCGCCCACTTCGTCTTCGATCACACCCCCTTTCGGGGGGAAGATCCTCCCTGTCGGCCACCGCCTGCGGTGCGAAGACCTCTCGAGCGAGAGCGCCGTTGTTCTGAGTCCAGGAGCCTCGCTGGCCAGGTGGCCAGGCCAGGGGGCATCCCGGAATACAGACTGAGAAATGTCAGACGGGAACCCTTGTCGCCGTGTCTGGGCCTCCTAGGGGGCCACATGCGAACCCTACCCCTACACCCCACGATTTCTGAGGGGGAGGGTGGGGTTCACTTCGCTCGGGAGCTTCCGAACGAAGTGAACCCCACCCTCCCCCTCAGAAATCGTGGGGGGTAGGGATAGGGTTCGCATGTGGCCCCCTACCTCCACCAACTTGCCTGAATTACCAGAAAATCTCGAGTGAGAGCGCCACCCTTGAGTTCGGGGGCCTCTCTGGCAAGGGCCTCTGCGAATACATCTTAAGGCAGTATCGAACGAAGGCCCTTGTCGTCGTCGTTGGGCCTCCACCAATGTGACGGAACCGCGAGGAAGTCTCGAAGCGAGAGCGCCTTTCCTGAGCTAGGGGGCCTCCCTGGCCGATGGGGATGGGGATGGGGATCGGTGAAACGATGCGGAGCGGCCAAGAGGGGGGTGTCCAAGAGGGAGGGGTGCAAATCGTGAGCGGCGGCACGTGCGCGGCCCAGCGGGGGGGCCAGGGACGTCATGAAATAAGCAGCGGCGCCATGAAATCTGGGGAAAGATCATGGCCACGCCATGATATCCACCACCACCCTACTCATCACCCCCCTCTTTTTGGGCGCCCGAGTTATCCGGGGTAACTCGGGCCCGGGGCAACTCGGGTTTGGATTCCCGAAAAACGAACCCGAGTTAGCCCTGACCCGAATTATCCCTGATGATTTGGGGCTCTGGACGCCCGAGTTATCCGGGGTAACTCGGGCCCGGGGCAACTCGGGTTTGGATTCCCGAAAAACGAACCCGAGTTGGCCCTGACCCGAATTATCCCTGATGATTTGGGGCTCTGGACGCCCGAGTTATCCGGGGTAACTCGGGCCCGGGGCAACTCGGGTTCGGATTCCCGAAAAACGAACCCGAGTTAGCCCTGACCCGAGTTGCCCCTGATGATTCGGGGCTCTGATCTTTTCCGCCCCCGAGGTACGGATCGGCACCTCGAGGCCTCCCCGAGGTCCGGCGGGAGGAGCCGCGGCGGGGGCCGCGCGCGGGGCCCGAGGTGGGCACGAAGTGCACGGAGGAGAGGAGGAGGAGAGGAGGAGGAGGAGGAGGAGGAGAGAGGAGGAGGAGAGAGGAGGGGAGGAGGAGGAGGAGGAGGAGGACGAGGAGGAGGAGGAGGAGGAGGAGGAGGAGGAGGAGGAGGAGGCCGCGCGGGGGCCGCGCGCGGGGAGCGGGAGGAGCCGCGGCGGGGGCTTCGCGCGCGGGGCCCGAGGTGGGCACGAAGTGCACGTCGAAGTACACGTCGTGCGTCTTCAGCCCGGACTGGCGCGGCGGGGGCCCCGCGGGCGGCCGCGCCGAACGGGGGCGCTGGGCCGTGGGCGCCTCGCCGCCGCGGGCTCGAGACGTCCTCGCGACGGAGTTCAGATATGAAGGGGCCCACAAACACACAAATAAATACACACAAATAACAGGATTCCCCATATTTTCGCATATTTTCTGGGTTTTCGTCTTCCCCCCACTTCCCATATTTCGCAATATTTTCCAATGTTTTTTCCCCTCCTGAAGATAGGGGAACAAAAAGTGACATAAACATATAACCTCGGAGGTCCGCGCGGATTTCTCGGATCGGCGCTGGGGCCCCCCTCCCTGGCGCGCGGAGCGCGCCAGGGGCGGCGCCGGAGGCGCCGCCGGCCCAGCGCCGATCCGAAAAATCCGCGCGGACCTCCGAGTTGTTATGTTTACGTCACTTTTTGTTCCCCTACCAGAAGCACCCAGGGAGACACGAACGAGCAGGCACACAAATCCCGGGATCCCCCACAGCTTCCTAGACGTTCTGGGCGTTCGTATTCCCCTCCGCTTCCCACATGTTCCAACAGCTCCCTCGGAATCGATGATTGCTTGTGTCGGAGCGCCCGGATCGTCCCAATCGGCTGGTCAGAGGCCTGAGGTATGGTTAGGTTGGGCATGTCCTCCTACAGGCGGATTTTGGAAGAAAAATGAAAAAGAATCGAAAATAGTCAGAAGAGCACGAAAAGTCGTCACCAGACAATTTTCTCACTACTCCTGAATATTCCTCCTGTAGAGGGACATGCCCGACTTCAGGGTTTGGCCCGGAAACCATCGTGAAGATGTCACGGCGGGAGACCCTGGCGATCTTTGGCCTCCTGGGCCCGCACGGGGCCTCGGGGTCGTTAAAGAGCGGCTCGCAACACTGAGCGATGAAAGGCAACCCACGCAGGCCAGATTTCTGAGGCTCCGGCTGGGGTTCAGTATTTCGTAGCCAAGCTAAGACCGAAAAACGGGGATCCGATACCCCAGCGTCGATTGGACCCGTAGAGCGAAAGACGCACGAGGCACGAATGAGATACCAATCGGTCCATGGGGGAAGCACAAAAGAGAAACACGTTTCTGACGCCGGCTTGGACAGAAACGCAGCAGAGGGTAGCGGACACCACCAGAACCTCCCAGGAAATAGCGGCGGGAACCGCTCTCTGTTGAAGACGCCCCAAACAAGCTCTACATGTTGGACAATACTTTTGGGATCGGTTTGAACTACTGCTACTACGACTGCTACTACTACTACTTCTCCTTATACTTCTACTTATACTTATAATCCTTCTTCTCCTTCTACTACATCTACTACTACTACTACTACTACTACTACTACTACTACTACTACTACTACTACTACTACTACTACTACTACGACTACGACTACTACTACTACTACTA